CAATGGCCGTGAGAACCACAATCGCTCCTAGGGACACGGCTCCACTGGCTACCACCACAGTTCGAAAGAGGACGTCGTAGTACTCGGCGCTGAGCTTCGAGCGAATGTACCGACTGAAGGCGACCAGCTGGGCGAGGCCAAACACCCCAAAGGCGGCCATGTGCTCCGAGGATTGGACCGGCTGGAAGCCGACGAAGGGAATCTGCATCGAGAGCAGCGTGCCAATGGTGTAAACCTAAAAAAGGAAAACAAAAATTAGAAAACCTCAAAACTTCTCAAAAGAAAACTCACCGTGGAGTAGGCGACATAAACTCTCCGCCCAAACCTTCCCGTGATCATCAGCACCAGCACGTGAAGCGGAATCAGATTGATGAGGAAAACATAGCCGCCCCAGCTGCTGACCATGTAGAAGTAGGCCAGAGCGGTGGCCACCGCCCAGAAGACGGTTCCACTCTTGACGGCCTTGATCCAGGCGTAATAAGTCAGAAGCATGCAGAAGATCGCTANAAACCTCAAAACTTCTCAAAAGAAAACTCACCGTGGAGTAGGCGACATAAACTCTCCGCCCAAACCTTCCCGTGATCATCAGCACCAGCACGTGAAGCGGAATCAGATTGATGAGGAAAACATAGCCGCCCCAGCTGCTGACCATGTAGAAGTAGGCCAGAGCGGTGGCCACCGCCCAGAAGACGGTTCCACTCTTGACGGCCTTGATCCAGGCGTAATAAGTCAGAAGCATGCAGAAGATCGCTATGCCCTCGTTGTCGTAGCTGCCCGCCACCGAGCGGCTGATGTAGCCGGGCACGACGCTGATCATGGCGGCGGCCGCCAGGCCTGAAGCCTCGTCGGAAAGCTCTTTGGTCAGGAGATAAGTGACCAGGGTGGTCAGAGAGCTGAAGGCCGGCGCGAGGAAGACGCAGACGTCGCGAATGTGCACCGGAAGGGAAACGGCCTGCAGGAGGTGGTACAGGGCGGCGGAGGTGACCATCAGCCCGGGGTAGATGGTGCCGCCGATGATGCGGCCCAGCGGGTACCAGGCCGCGTCGTCGAACCAGTTGTGGAAGCGGTAGAAGCCGTGCTCGGCGAGGTACCGCGTGGTGCGGTAGTTGAAGTACGGGTCGAATTCGTGGATCACCGATCTACAAAGAGAGAGAGAGAGGAAAGAAAGTTTTAGAATTCGAAATTAAGCGGTTCCCAAAGAGCTTGACTACTTACTCGTAGCGGAGGACTGAGAAGAGGCGGACGGTGAAGGCTGAATTGAGGAGGAGGTGAGATTAAAAAATGTGATTTCGAAATGGAAGTTTTGGAAGCTTACCAAGCGACGCTGCAATCACCAAGAGGAGTATCTTCAGCAGACCGGTGGTGCTTGAAGATGAGGAGGACCTTTCTGAGGATTCTTTTTTATCTGAAGATAATCCTCCTCCCACATCTTCACCGCCTTTGGACAGGCTGCCACTTCGGGCCTTGTGACTTGAGGAGACGGTCATCTTTGCTGCTGTTGATCTTCTTTTCTAATGACTAGTCTGACAGCTACAGTTGACCAGTGGTGGCAACACTACTGCTGCCGACACTACTGTCTTGAGAATGTGTCCGGTTCTTCTTCTTCTTCCTCGTTTACTGAAGATCCAGGATGATAATTTCAGGTGATAATGGAAAAAAGAAGAGGCCAACAAAAACAAACAAAAAAAAGTGTCGCCGGCAACGCCGCCGATTGTCACATCTGCGCCGAAGGCTATTTCCACCCTGTCTCAAATTCTGCAGAATCCGTCCTCAAACTCGGAATAAATCTAGATTTTTAACCACAGAATCCTCTATCCTACTAAACAGATGATCAGCTGCCGATTCTAGAACCGCTTAAACCACTTTCCAAAAAGGTACCACTCTGAAGATATCACCCCCAGCGACCACCTACCTTTCGCCAGTGCTTCAACCAGAACGCCATCTGCGGACAGGCCGCAGGCCGCCGCTGTACAACTGTTGCGCGTGCTTTTCGGATTCGCTTGCCAAACTTCAAAACAAAGCCTCTCAAGAATCATTTTTTAACCAGGAAAACCGTTTCGAAATGACCAGCTCTACCTAATCACCTCCTCAAACCCCGAATTTAATTTTCACCAACAAAAGATATTCATCTTCAAAGGATGCATTTTTGAGCATTTGCCCACTTCGGACGGCTGTCCTCTCTCGTTTGTTTTGCTGCTGCAGCTGGGCGCCATCAGCTTTACGTCAGTATGGGAAATTCTTACTGAGAATTCATTGGCTCTATGGCGTGCGGGCGCCATCCTCTGCGTCGATTCTCTACTGACTTCTCTTCTCTTCTTTGTTCTACTCTTTTTGAAAATGGCTACTGTTCCTGCTGCTGCTGCTGCCGCAGCTAAATAGTGACGCATTGTACAAAGGAAGGAATCGAATTGAAAGTCGTGGTGGCTGTTGCGTCATCAGCAGTTAATTTCGTCATTTCCATTTCTATTTTTGAGCGAGAGAGGAAAGACCTGATTTATCAGAAGCAGCAAAACTACGACACACAGAAAAAAACATTTCATCTGTCACCGTCAATTTTTAATTTCATTTTCGAAACAAGGCGCAACACCATCTTCCTCAGTTTCGACTCAAAACTCTTCGACCACTACCTTCAGCACCACTTCCTCTCCGCTTGATCACCTCACCGTGTCACCTTCCCTATCTCTCTCCAGCCACCACGACTCTGTCCGACTTTTATCTGTCTATCATTCTCTCTCCCTTCAAGTACTTCTTCTTCAGCTTCGATCGATCGAAGAGTCATCGCCGACGATCGAGAGACCACCACCACAGCCTTTGCGGCGGCAACCGTTCGACCTAATCGAATCAATCGTGATCAGCGGCAACGGGCAAGCCTCCTCTGCTACTCTACCACCACCACCACCACCACCACCACTTCTAATCAGAACAAACAGCAGCAATGCTGGCGGCCTATCTTCGTCCGGACGGTGATGACTGCTTCTGCGGCGGTGGCTGTGGTCTTCGACAGAGAAGAGGGCGAAAGACAACAACAGGAGTGTACTGAGCAACAACAACAGGAGCAACAGCAGCAGCAGCAGATCAAGAAGAAGAAGAAGAGGAAAGAGCAAGAACACACACAGACACACTCAATCTGATCACGAGAGAAAGAAAACGGGAGAACAGGAGAGAGAGAGAGTTGCAACAGAGTTGTGTGATTGCGCTCTTTTTCTTTCTCCTCTCTTTCTCGAGTGCACACAGTCCTTTGTTGTCGTTGTTGCTGTTGGATCCACAAACTCTGCACCGTCATCTCATTACCACCACCACCATCACCATCGCCACTACTGTACAGCAGCATTGTACAACGACGACGACAACAGACGTTTTCCTCTTCTCTTCTCTTCTTCCTCTGTACGTGAGTGTGTTTCTGCCTGGCTGACTTCAACTGATCGTACGCGCCAGTCTCAGTCTCGCCACTCTGCTTTTGTTGTGACTCATTCCCAGCTACTGCTACTGCTACTACTACAGCAAACCTGAGCGAGAAATATCCTTTTTCTTCTTCTTCAGTAGCAGCAAGCAACAGCAAGTGCAACTCATTTTTCAGTCAGCAGCAGATATCTCTTTGCTCTTCAACTCTGCTCAACTCTTCAGGTCTACAAGTCTTCGAAGTAGTCTGCAGCAGCAGCAGCCACGACCAACAAGATCAGCAGCAGCAAAGGTCTCCGGCGACGACGCCGACTCGCTGCCCTCATTTCGAACTCTCTCAGCTGAAAATTGAGGACTACTGCAGCAGCTTCTCTTCTCTTTCTCTATAGCTGGTTTTGCTATAGCAGAAGGAAGACGGGGAACTCTATGCTCCCAAACGGCAGCAGCAGCTTCTCACTGCCATCAAACAACGCCGCCGAGTGAGTGAGAAGTTGTGGTGGTGGTCGCCTTCGCCGTCGCCGTCGACATCGTCCTCGACAGCGAAACAGAACAGCAGCAGCAGCAGCAGCAGTGTCCGTGCTCTCTCCTCGCTCTTGCTCTCTTGCTCAGTGCTCTTCCACTTCGCTTGCCGTCTGCTCCTCATTCCCAACTTCAGCTCTTCAGCTCTGAAGACTGTCTGTGGCGAGACTATTACCTTGATTCGCAGCAGCAGCAGCAGCTCTCCTCTTCAACGCCACCAGCCACCAGCCAGCCACCAACGACCACACGATAACGTGTCGTCGTTTTGTTTTCTCCCTCTCTCTTCAAGAGAGTTAGTGAGTGAGTGAGGAGACCTCTTCTGCTTCTTGAGCACCAAGCTGACTGACTGATACTGTGGCGGTGGTGATGATGGTGGTGAAGAAAACCTCTTCGTTGCCGTGCTGGTGTGGTGGTAATTAGCCCACACAGCTGAGGAGTGCACAGAAGAAGAAGAAGATTGAAGAGTGCCCCAGCGAAAACGCCGTACACTGAGCGACACCCTAACACCATCAACAACAGAAACATCAAACTCAGTAGCAGCAAAATCAACAACAGCAGCAGCAGCGAAAACTCCTCCTTTTTATCAGCTGAGAGCCTTTTCACCCACCAACCACAACATCAACATCAACAACAAACGTTTTGCGACCTTCTTCAACTTTGATCATCCCCACAACAACAGCTCATCACCCTCATCAGAGAACTCCCATCACCCCACAAATCACCCCAACCACCAACTCATCCATCATCAGCGATGGCCGCCGCCACCGCCTCCTCCGGACACCGCATGCCCAACCTGCGGAATCGCGTGGTGGGCGAAAAGTACCGCCTGATTCGCCTGATAGGCTACGGCTCCTTTGGCGACATTTACCGGGCGGTCAATCTGCAGAACGGCGAGGACGTGGCCGTCAAGATCGAGCCGCCCAACTCGCCGCACCCCCAGCTCAAGTACGAGGCCCACGTCTACAAGTCGATTCAGGGCTTCGGCATACCGATGCTGCGGTACTTTGGCGTCGAGAACGACTACAACATCATGATCATCGACCTGCTGGGGCCCTCGCTGGAGGACCTGTTTACCTACTGCAAGCGGCGATTTAGCCTAAAGACGGTGCTCATGCTCGCCGACCAGATGCTGATTCGCATCGAGTACATCCACAGCAGGGGCTACATTCACCGCGATCTCAAGCCGGACAACTTCCTGATGGGCATTGGACGGTTCAGCAGTCGAGTCTACCTGATTGACTTTGGCCTGGCGAAGAAGTACTACGACCGCCTGCTGAGACGGCACATTGAGTACCGGGAGGATAAACACTTGACGGGGACGGCGAGGTACGCCTCGGTGAACGCCCACCTCGGCATTGAGCAGAGTCGCCGGGACGACCTGGAGTCGTTTGGCTACGTGCTGATATACTTTCTCCGAGGCTCCCTGCCTTGGCAGGGGCTGAAGGCGAGCACGAAGCGCGGCAAGTACGACCGCATCACCGAGCGGAAGATGAGCACGCCGATTGAGGCGCTGTGCATGGGTTTCCCCAGCGAGTTTCAGATGTTCCTCAACTACTGTCGGGGGCTGCGGTTTGACGAGGACCCCGACTACATGTACCTCCGGCAGCTGTTTCGCATTCTCTTTCGCTCGCACAACTACGAGTACGACTACGAGTTTGACTGGACGATACGGAAGGAGATTGAGAAGCGGGCGCTGGATAAGACCTACAGCATCATCGGCAATAAGATCAGCACGACGAACAATGCCCTGGAGGTGGGACCAGGAGGAACTACGAGTGGTGCAGGAGCGATTCAATCTCCTGTAGGTCCTGGAGGTGGACTTCCTCAGCAGATGATAGGTGGGGGAAATATTGTGGCGCCGAATGCGGCAGCGACGGCCACCGGTCCTGGAACGGAAGGCTGAGGAGAAGAAATTTGAGGAGTTTTGGAAGAGTTCTTGAAGATGATGAAAAGCTGTTATTGATGTTGTTGATGTTTGTTTGTTGAAGCTATGGGCTCTCTCCCATGATGATCGCAATATTCTTCTTCTCTTTCCTGTTTTATATTTTTCTCTGTTTTTCTTCCTCTTCTCTTCATCTCTGCAAATCTTATTCTTATTCTTCTTCCTCCTCTTCTTATTCGGAACATTCGCAATCTTCTACTTCCTCCTCTTCTTGAACTTCTGCTTCTTCTTCTTCTTGAAATCTCTTTCATCATCAACTGATTTCGTCTCAGAAGCAAGCGAGGAAAAGACGGAAATCTCTTTGTCGTCACAATTGTTGAGCAAGTCATCATCATCTCCTTCACCTTCACCTTCATCACTCGTTTTGATCGTCTCATCGACTTCTTCTCATTTCATCACTATTTTTCTCATCTGAAGAGTGTGGAGCTGATTAACGACAAACTTCTCATCAACGTTTTTCCTCTCATCATCAACTTCTGCAATCAACTTCGCTCGAGGTTGGAGACCTCCCTCACCACAGTCTTTGAAACTTCTCTTTCTCCTCTTAAACTTCTTCTTCTTCAGCAATGTCTCATCATCATCATCCTCACCATCAACTTCTTCATCCTCGAAACCTTAGCGCACTTCATCGAATTCTTCACCTTTCCTCCCATGTAAAATATTTGCGTCACAAGCTCTCTCACACTCACTCTATTGATCCAATGGCTATATTATAACTGCTTTGTACAAAGATAACTCTCTCTATATTATTAAATTAAATCTCTATGAAATCTAATTCTTTGGGAAAATCGAATCTGGTTGTTTTATTTCGGGGAATCTAGGTTCAGTGGGACCTAGGGAAAGGGACACACAAATGTGTGTGTCTTGAACAGCAATAACATGAGGAAGAAAGAGGTGTGTGCCTCTTTTAGAATATTCAAACCATGAAATGATGCAATCGAGAAAGGTAAAGGAAGAGGTGCTCCCTAGAAATAGCTGAGATGAGATGAGGTGATCTTTTTCTTCTTCTTCACTTGCCACGGTTTCGATTGTATCCGCCGCCGCCGCCGCCTCCACGACCACCGCCGTATCCATTTCGATCTCCGCCTTGATCTCCTTTTCCTCGATATCCTCCTCCAGAGTTTCCACCGCCTCGATTTCCGCCGCCGCCTCCTCTTCCTCCTTGATGATGTCCACCGCCGCGATTTAGAACTGGTCGCTTGTTCATCCCTCCGCCGCCATCTCGGTTTCGATTGTCCATTCGTCCGCCTCGGTTCTGTGATTTGGCCTCGTCCTCGCGGACCATGTCGATCACTTCATCCGGTATGCGGAGGTACTTGATGTTGACGCCGCGGATGTACACCTCGGGCATCCGCCAGAAGCGGTCGCCGTCCTTGCTGGTGCAGATTACCTCGCGCAGCTGAATGTTCATCCAGTTGTCGCACTGGACCAGGTGGCCATTGTACGTCTCGCCGTTCTTCAGCTCCACCAGCATCGGGTGATTCTGGGCGGTTCGAAGTAGAGTGAGGGGGAGCATTTTGGGCTCGGTATTTCGGCGGGTTTGCTGATAAAGGTGATCAGTTTTCGGCGGATGATGGTGATGACTGCTGAGGTGGTGGTGATCGGTAGTTAAAGCTGTTGCTGCTGCTGCTGAAGACCAAGAGAGTGATGATGATCAAGTTGTGATGACCAGAGCAGAAGATGACAATCTTCTGTTTCGGCTTCAAGAAAATGAAAAATGTGATCTTCAGTTTCTATTTCTCGTTCTGCGCTTCGCTTCGCCAAAGAGCAAAACAATCGACCATCGCCGGTGCTGGCGGCCGCTATCGATGCTATCGAGTGTCACTTCAAGCGTCGATTTTTCTGCTTTTGAAAAACTTCATTTCAAATTCCGCGAATTCTGTTTCCCCCTTAAAAGTCCTGTGTTTCCTTTGAATTAGTCTCTGAAAGGTAATAGAGTTGCAAAGACTGGTAACTAGTGGTATATGCAAATTACTATTGTTACTGGTCACAAGCTTACGAGTCTGCTGAGCTCCTACTATTTAATTTGCTCGACAGTTGTAAACTCCTCGTCAAATGAATCCTCCTCGAATGATCAACGCCTAACGAGCCCTTGACACGGCACGTTTCAATTAAGAGGAAAAATAGAGAGGCAGAGAGAAAAAACTGTTCAACTATGTACACAGGAGATAAAATTTAATGAGCGGCGGCGGCTCTGGGTACAATGACAGCAAAAACAAAACACAAACTTCTGCAAAAACTGCAGAAATCGATCCCTAAAAGAAGAAGAGGCTTTGAACTTTCTCAACTGCAAACACAGTGTTCAAAACCTAGAACTTGTAATGAAAAACTGCAAAAAGCCGAGGTTACCTTGGAGACCTTCGGGAGCGGGAGAAAAAAAATTCGTTTCAAAAACCGATCCAAAAGCAAAACCGATGCCATCTGGCGACCAGAGCGGAGATATGGGAGAACAAACAAAAATGGACCGATCCAGGATCGGCTGCTGCTGCTGATGCCGTTGTTCTGTCTGTTGTTATTGTTGTTGTTTTCATTGTTGAATCCCTAGGATTCTTCTGAATTTGTTCGTTCTAGGACCATGGCCTCCGCCTACAGCCTCGCCCCTCCGGTCCTCTTCCCCCACTGGAACTACCTCCCAACGCCGGTGTTGGAGCAGGTGGCCGCCTGCTTCACCTCCCTCCGCGACGTCCTCCAGACGATGCTCGTCTGCAAGAAGTGGTACTACGCACTGTCAGACGATCGCTCCGAGATTTGGGCCATCTTCGCCGGCCGCCGTCTCTCGAAGGCCGTTCTCAAGTCCCCGGTCCTCTACAGCCTTCCGAGCTACAAGGCAAAGCTGAGGGCGCTCAGCTACGCCTGGGATGCGGCCGAGTGCTCGCGGAACATCTTCATCAAGCCAAACGGTTTCACTCTTCACCGGAATCCGGTGGCGCAGAGTAAGTGGAGGGAGGGGTGGGGGAGAGGATTCTTGAGTTCAAGGATCCTCGATTCTTGATTCCTGAATTCAGGATCTAATGGTTTTCTTTCAATCTCGGTTAGGCACCGACGCCGCCCGCGGCAAACTGGGCCTCACCGCCGGCCGCCACTGCTGGGAGGTCTGCTGGGAGGGGCCCCTGGGCACGGTGGCCGTCGTCGGGGTGGCCACCAAGGAGGCCACCCTCCAGGCAGCGGGCTATGTCCCCCTCATAGGCAGCAACGTCCACTCCTGGGGCTGGAACCTGGTGGAGAACAGCCTGGTCCACGGGGGCCACTGTACGGGGGCGTATCCACGGTTGGCCAATGCGCCGAGGTACCAGACCGGCGATCGGCTGCGCATCATCCTCGACTGTGACTCGCAGACGCTCGCCTTTGAGCGGGACTACGAGTTTCTCGGCATTGCCTTCTTCAGCCTGCCGAAGAAGCCTCTCTACCCGGCGGTCTCGGCAGTGTACGGCAATACGGAGATCAGCATGGTCTACCTGGGATGGCCGCTCGATGGTTAGGATCTAGGAAAAAAAATAACATAGGATTAGGATTCAAATAAAAGCTTGCAATGAAGTTGTGCATATCATCATCATCAGTTTGCCGTCGTACAATCATCAATGCTGCTAACTGTACAAACCTTTCTCTTTGTCTTCAAAAGCCCTTCAACTGCCAAAATGCTCACTTCTTCTTCTCTTGTATAGCTTTTACTTCATTTCTAAAAAATGTACAAAAAGTAATCTAGGATTAATAAAAAAAATGTCATCAGAAATTACAAACTTCACTTACCTTCAGTGTTCTACTGTTTTTTAGCTCCAAAACAGACGACAAATAAACCAAATAAGGTATGCTAGGATCAGTCTGTTTTGGGTGAAATCTCCAGCAGAACTGCCACACCATTCCTTGAGAATGGCCGTGCTGGCGTTCCGCCAAACGGTCCTCGACTCATCCCGACAGCGCAGCTGCACATTGGGCGTCATGCAGCGGGTGAAGGCGCCCAGGTAGGCGCAGACGTTGACGCCCGCCTCGAACCGAAGCATCGCCGTCATCGTGTACGGCCACCGGTGCTTTGGAGAGACTGATTTCAGAAGTGAAAGGTCCGCCTCGGAGATGACCGTCTCATTTGCCGTTTCCAGCGTGGGATGATCTGGAATATAGGAAATAGAAAGCTCGGATTTAGAAACTGAGAACTTTAGGTTCAATTCAGCAATCGACTTACCACTGCCGCAGATGCTGCCCTTGCGGACATGCTCGATGCAGTAGCCGCCCTCGATCAGGTCCTTGATTCCTTGTAAACTGTGATCCTCACAAAAATGGCCATGGACGAGGCGCATCACCTTCAGAATGCGCTTCATCTGCGCGTAGCCGTTGAAGGAGACACATTCCTCGGTGAAGACCGCCTCGTAGCAGCTCTTCAGCTCGGCCAGCTTCGAGCACATCGCCGCCAGTTCGCCCTCCTCAATGAGGATGTGTCCGTTCTCGCCGTACGGCGGCCGACGAAGGAGGTCTTCGAGCAGAGAGAAGTCTCGCTCGAGGTAGCGGTGAAGACAGGCGGACATTGTCTTGCTGCCCAAGGAGCAGGCCTGGGTGGTGGTGGTGAGAGTGATGATGGTGATGATAGAGGTGATGAGGATCACCAGAAAAAATATGGGAGGTTGGGTCATCTTTTTTGGAAGTTTAGAAGTTTAAAAACAAAGAAGCTCCAGAAAAGTAAAAAGTTATAACGTGAAAAAAATCAAAACAAAAACACTGGGGAAAAAGTGCCGACAGTCGCAGAAGACGTTACACCCGAACATTTGAATTTTTTTCGAGCCAAAAAATTAATGCAACAATTACCTAAGGCAATAGAGCAACTAAATGATCAAATTCTACTTGAGATTGCATTAATCAACAAATTTCATAAATATATAGTTTATAGTAAAAAATATAGTAAAAACGTAAATAACAAAAAGTGGTTAACAATAAAAAATATCAAAACGTGTATATATCATTATCATATCGATCCGCTTTAGTTCTATAAAGTATATCCTGATACTCGGTTGAATTTTTGTTTTGTGTCAGTTCAAGTTAGACATTTGTTCGTCCTCTTCGTTGTTTTCAAACTTTACTTGAAAATAACGAAGCCTATTTGAGCCAGTAGGATAAATAATATTGAGTTGTCCTGAAAACCCAAGCAGCATAAGGGTCAGATTCGGCACGTGCAAGACTAGATCATTGTAAGACTTAACACCAAAAACCGGGTCGTCAATTATATAATGAAGATTAACACGATTGCCAAAATTTTGTTCAAAGTCGTAGAAAACAGTGAATAAGCAAATCTGTTTGAGTTCAATAGAAAGGGTGAAATCAGGACCGTTTTCCATGTTTTTGCCAGCAGAAAACTCTTGAATTTCAAAATGGGTGTTAGTTAAACGAATATAATAGAAAAAAGTTGCAGAATCTACAGACGGAGATTCTATTTTGGCATAAACCCAAAGACAACATAAATTTTTGTTTTTTTCTAGATTTTGTTTAAAGCAAAGCAATTTTTGAACATTATCCGAGCAACTGATACTTTTGCAGGATTCATTGTTGTAGATGTCCATTCTGTCGCTGTTGTTGATTGATGAAGCTTGAAGTCTTATTACTTATTACGATTTCACCGTATTAAATTAAAAGTTGAATTGAGTGTACGTTGAGCTAATGTAAGTTGGCAAAGTTAGGGCCAGCCGTTGCAGCAGTTTCTTTGACGAAAATGAAAAGTGTACAACCCAAGTTGTGATTGTAATTGTAAGCACATAAGTGTCGCAAGCACTTGCAAAAGTTGCCCATTGACAATTTTTCGATGCCCCCTCTGAGGGAGAGCAGTGACAACTCAAATGTAGGGAAAAAGACACTGTTTTGTAGTAGCTCGGTAAACGAAAACAGCGCCCCTAACGGAATTTTGCATATTCTTGTTACGAGCAACAAACGGAGATGAGTCTCATTGTCAATGTAGTTTTCCCCTATATTTCAGTTGTCACAATTCTTTTCCAGAGGGCGCACTAAAAAATTGTTGATGGCGAAAATATCCCCAGTTACATCAGTGGTATTTGGAAAGAGCGAGGCAATCGCGCACTAAATTATCACAATGTCGGTGTCTAACTGCACGCATTGAACCACTGTTTTTTATTTTTGGCGCTAACAACTGCCAAGACGGCTTGTTGCTTGTGATAATGGGCGCCTACAGGGAGACAGCCTCAGCAAAAACTGGTCGGCTAAAATTTAAAATGCCATGCAGTCTGGGAGCGCAGCGAACGGCTAATTTAAAATGCTGTTGGTTTTAAATAAAGGATTTTTTACTGTTTAGGCAAAAATGTACAAGCATTTTTAATAAAAATTTTTTAATATTTAACTTTTACTGAGCCATGTTAAACGCTTTCCGTTTTTTGAGATTAATTAGTCACACATTTCAGTGAAAGTAGAAATTTAAAAATCCGAGCCAGACAAAATCTTGTGAAGTGGGCAATGGTCGACAACGTCAGATGGCTGACTGGATCTCATAAGATGCGTCGAAGACTGGCAGGGAGGAGTGGCGGCCCATAGGCCGCTAGCGAAGTGGCTTTGAGAAGTTCGAAGTTACGTCGCCTGTTTGTATAAAAACAGCTACTCTTTGCCATTAAAAGTCAGTCTGGACTACGTATGTTTGTGTTCACTCTTACTCAGCGCTTCTCTAGATAATTTTGTCACCTTTCATTTGACACCTTGATCATTTTTGTGGTGTTACCCGTTTTAGTGGAAAATGTACCTGCGTAGTTCAAGATCTCGCTGAAAAAAACTGTTGACTAGTGTCGTGTCACAACTAATCCTGTTTGGCCGGTGAGGCACGACCGCCGGTTCTTCAGTGAACGCGACCGCTCAAGCACACTGGCGTGGCCTGAGAGTGCTCCTGAAAGCTCGGCAACTATCGGAGTTGCAGGCTTGGTATCAAGGGTGGGAGATGGGCGTTTGCTGGCCCAACAAAACACTGATGGGATAAAATCTTAGTTTACTAAAAAGAAGTATATAAAAAGGTGATGATGTAGATGGATCAGTGTAAGTTGGGGGGCAAACAATGGTCGAGGGGATTGGGTGATTGGTCGAGTAGGATGACGAGCCGAATCACTCACTTGGCTGAATGACGACGACGACTTTAAGAGAGCCGTCAAGCTTATACAGGGTGGGCCACCTAAAGTGTCACTAAATTTCAATCGTTGTT